CTGAACTCCTCTCCCTCTGGCCTTCAACCCTCACCGACCCCTCTTCTGCTCTCACCCTCCTCCACAACACCCTCTCCTCCACACTCGACACTCTTGCCCCATCACCTCCCGTACTGTCTCCTACTCTCGCTCCTCCCCCTGGTTCACCACCCACCTCCGCTCACTGAAGAGCCAGGTGCGGGCCGCTGAACGCACCTGGTCAAATCTGGCCTAACGGTCCACCGACAAATCTGGCTGGACCTCCTCAAAATCTACCGCTCCACTCTAGCCTCGGCCAAGTCGTCCTTCTACTCCAGGATAATCCTGGAGGCGAAGAACAACCCCAGGCTACTGTTCTCTACCACATCCCAACTCCTCCGTCCCCCCCGCCACCCCGCGCAGGTCATCTCCTCCAACCTTCACTGCGAGGAGATGCTGGATTTCCTTGAATCCAAGATCAAGGGAATCCGCTCCGCGGTCACTTCCCCTCCAACATCCACCCACCACCCACCCCTTCCCTCCCACACTCCGACTCCTACCCATCCTCCCCTACACACCTTCGTACCCGTTTCCCCACCCTCTGTCACCAAACTCATCCTATCCCTGAAACCACCACCTGCTCCCTTGACCCCATCCCCACTCCACTCCTTATCTCCCAGCTCCACCTCCTTGCCCCACATATCACAGACATCGTCAACCTGTCCCTCTCCTCTGGCTCTGTTCCCATTCCCTTAAAAACTGCCACCATCACTCCCACCTTAAAAAAACCCTCCCTTGATGCGTCGCAGCTATCAAGCTACCGGCCCATCTCCAACCTCCCCTTCCTGTCCAAGGTCCTGGAACGAGTTGTCGCCTCCCAGCTGCGCTCTTTCCTCTCCAACCATTCACTATTCGAACCCCTTCAGTCAGGTTTCCGTGCTGCCCATAGCACAGAAACTGCCCTGGTCAAGGTCACCAATGACATCCTGACCATCTGTGACCAGGGCTCCCTCTGCCTCCTCGTCCTCCTCGACCTATCGGCAGCATTCGATACGGTCGACCACGCTATCCTCCTCCACCGCTTGTCCTCCCACCTCAACCTTCAAGGCCCTGTCCTTGAGTGGTTTAGGTCGTACCTCTCCCACCGTCTTCACTTTGTCTCCTCAAATGGCTTTCCCTCCCCCCCCGCACTGTCTCGTGCGGTGTCCCTCAAGGCTCTGTCCTCGGTCCCCTCCTCTTCACCCTCTATATGCTCCCCCTGTGGTGACATCATCCGCAGACATGGGGTTAACTTCCACATGTATGCGGATGACACCCAACTCTACCTTTCCTCCTCTACCCTCAACTCCACGACCACCGATGTCCTGACAGCTGCCTGTCCGACATCGAGTCCTGGACGAGAGACAACTTTCTTCAGCTCAACGTGCGCAAAACTGAGGCCCTCCTGATTGGCTCACGTCAGCGCCTCCGCACCTCAGGCGCTGACACCATCAGCATCCAAGGCTGCACTCTCCACCTCTCAAAGCCATCAGGAACCTCGGGGTTCTGTTCGACCCTGAGCTGTCCTTTCTCCCTCATATCCGCACCACAACTGGCACCGCCTTCCATCACCTCCGGAATATCGCCAGACTACGGCACTACCTCACCCCTCACGCGGCTGAAACTCTGGTCCACGCCTTCATCACCTCAAGGCTGGACTATGGGAACTCTCTCCTCGCCGGCCTTCCCGGCCCTCCCTCCACACTGCAGGTCATTCAGAACTCTGCAGCTCGTGTACTGTCCCGCACCAGGCTTCGGGACCACATCACTCCCACCCTCGCTCGCCTCCACTGGCTCCCCATCCCCCAGAGGATCGAATTCAAGATCCTCATCCTCACCTACAAGGCCATTCACGGCCTTGCTCCCTCCTACCTCTCCGACCTACTATCCCCCTACCTACCTGCCCGTACCCTCCGTTCCTCTGGCTCCGGTCTCCTCCACATCCCCCGCCCCAACCGCCCTACTATCGGTGGCCGGGCCTTCAGCCTCTCAGCCCCGAGGCTCTGGAACTCTATCCCCCAGTGCCTTCGCCGCCTCCTCCCTTTCCTCCTTCAAGGCCGGTCTCAAGACCTTTCTCTTTGACCGTGCCTTCAGCTCCCCTCTCGACTCTCTACCCCCTCCTCGCTCCCTCCCTTCCCTCCCCTCACCCTGACCATGTCCCCCCTCCTCGGGTCCTGACCCAACTGTACAGCGCCTTGGGACGTCCTCCCGACGTGAAAGGCGCTCAATAAATGGAATCTTGTTGTTGTTGTTGTTATTGCACTATTCGAAAAGTAAAGAGAGTTTTCTCCTGTATCCTGGCCAATAATCCCCCAAATAAAATTTGTCATACACTTCATAGCTGCAATCCATGTAATGGGACATTGACATTCAACATTGTCTGTCGCGTTGGTCCACAAAACGCACAGTGACTGCACTTTACAGTATATCCCGTAAGCACTTTGGGATGTCCTGCTGATATGAAAGGTGATTTACCAAATCTAAGGATTTTTGTTGTTATTAATATGCTTCAAGGATAATAATAATAATAAATCCTGTAGAGGTGTACATCACACCCAAAAAATGTGACACCTCCCCTGTGTTTGAGGTGTGGCAATACTTCCAAATTTGAAATCTGATTTGAATCCAGACCAAAGCAAAATAGAAGTCTTCTCCACAAGATTGGGTTAGGGACACGTTTGAGATAGCAGAAAGCTTACTAGGATTCAGGCCATTAATAATAATAATAATAATAATCCTTGCATTTGATATAGCGCTTTTCACGTCGGGAGGACGTCCCAAAGCGCTTCACAGAACACACTGTAAAGTGAATTGACTGTATATTTGTGGGCGAACGCGGCAGCCAATTGCGCACAGCAATGTCCCACAAACAGTCGTAGATTGAAAATGACCAATTTATTATTGTTTTGTTTTGGAGGGATTGTTATTAGGCTCTGTGTGGAGTAAGGAAACTTGCCCGAGGTTTCGCCCTCTGCCTGGAATTGAACTCAGGTCTCTCACTTGCAAAGCGAGTGCTCTAACCACTGAGCTACAGGACTCCACGATGGCAGCTGCGATCATGTGAGTGTGTGTAAAGCGGAATGGAAAGATTTTCGTCAGTTCACTGGAGGGTTACTCTGAGCCTCGTGTCATAATACATTGTTGAGGTAGAGCAAAAGATCTTAAACCTGAAAATGGTTTAAACCTTAAACCTGAAAAAACCATCAGGGCTCCACCTAGACTGGTCCATACAGTCCTGACTCACTCCACATAAGGACCCTGCCAGAGCTTTACAGACGGTGCTGTTTATAGCACCAAGGCCGATAATAATAATTCTTGCATTTGATATACCGGCTTATCGCGGCTTCGATACATCTCAAAACGCTTCACAGAGTAAACTGTGAATTGATTGTATATTTTGTGGGCGAAACGCAGCAGCCAATTGCTCACAGCAGTGTCCCGCAGACAGTCGTGGATTGAGTGACCAAATTATTATTTATTTTGAAGGGATTATTACCCCCGGAAAAGCCAATTGACGAACAACTGGGTTCCTACTGACTGCCAAGTAAACAGTGGTGTGTGGAGTAAGGAAACGTGTAACCTCAAACCCCGGGTGTGGAGGGTTGAATTGCAAAGAATCATTCGATAAGATTTGAAAGGTAATATCTGAGAGGAAATCTAATGGACGAACTGCGTCTGAGAGGATCAGTGGGACATCCCTGGAAAGTAAACTCATTGTGATTCCAGCCGGGCACCAGCAACCAGGACCCCCAGCACAGTGAGGGGGTAACGGGGCGGGGCCAGGACCCCCAGCACAGTGAGGGGGTAACGGGGCGGGGCCAGGACCCCCAGCACAGTGAGGGGGTAACGGGGCGGGGCCAGGACCCCAGCACAGTGAGGGGGTAACGGGGCGGGGCCAGGACCCCAGCACAGTGAGGGGGTAACGGGGCGGGGCCAGGACCCCAGCACAGTGAGGGGGTAACGGGGCGGGGCCAGGACCCCAGCACAGTGAGGGGGTAACGGGGCCCCCAGCACAGTGAGGGGGTAACGGGGCGAGGGACCCCCAGCACAGTGAGGGGGTAACGGGGCGGGGCCAGGACCCCCAGCACAGTGAGGGGGTAACGGGGCGGGGCCAGGACCCCCAGCACAGTGAGGGGGTAACGGGGCGGGGCCAGGACCCCCAGCACAGTGAGGGGGTAACGGGGCGGGGCCAGGACCCCCAGCACAGTGAGGGGTAACGGGGCGGGGCCAGGACCCCAGCACAGTGAGGGGGTAACGGGGCGGGGCCAGACCCCAGCACAGTGAGGGGTAACGGGGCGGGCCAGGACCCCAGCACAGTGAGGGGGTAACGGGGCGGGGCCAGGACCCCAGCACAGTGAGGGGGTAACGGGGCGGGGCCAGGAACCCCAGCACAGTGAGGGGGTAACGGGGCGGGGCCAGGACCCCCAGCACAGTGAGGGGGTAACGGGGCGGGGCCAGGACCCCAGCACAGTGAGGGGGTAACGGGGCGGGGCCAGGACCCCAGCACAGTGAGGGGGTAACGGGGCGGGGCCAGGACCCCAGCACAGTGAGGGGGTAACGGGGCGGGGCCAGGACCCCCAGCACAGTGAGGGGGTAACGGGGCGGGGCCAGGACCCCCAGCACAGTGAGGGGGTAACGGGGCGGGGCCAGGACCCCAGCACAGTGAGGGGGTAACGGGGCGGGGCCAGGACCCCAGCACAGTGAGGGGGTAACGGGGCGGGGCCAGGACCCCCAGCACAGTGAGGGGGTAACGGGCCGGGGCCAGGACCCCCAGCACAGTGAGGGGTAACGGGGCGGGGCCAGGACCCCCAGCACAGTGAGGGGTAACGGGGCGGGGCCAGGACCCCCAGCACAGTGAGGGGGTAACGGGGCGGGGCCAGGACCCCCAGCACAGTGAGGGGGTAACGGGGCGGGGCCAGGACCCCCAGCACAGTGAGGGGGTAACGGGGCGGGGCCAGGACCCAGGCTGGAGGAGGAAGTGACGTACCGGAGCCGGAAGTGGGGCGAGGCGGGAGGGGCGGAAGATGGCGGCGGTTCGGGGACTGGAGAGAGCGGAGAGCGGCCGCCGGCAGTAGCGCGCGCGGCGCGGGATTGGGGGGCGGAGGGCGAGTGGCGGCCCCGACAGCAGATATATAAACATCAGCAAAAGCGCAGTCTGTGTCTGTCCTCAACAACAGGTGCGTTCAACACCGCCTCCGCGCCCTGTGACAGCGGTCCTGAGCCTCCGGTTGGACACTCGCCTCACAAGTCAGAGGATCGGGTTCAGGTTTCCTGACTCCACACGTCCCCGTTCACGAGCAGTAAATGCAAACCTGGTCGTCAGTCGATTGGCATCACTTTCCGGGGATAATAATTCCTCCAAAAAAAACAATAATAAATTGGTCACGTCGGCCTCCGGCTGTTTGTGGGACACTGCTGTGCGCAATCGCCCACAAAATACACCGTCCGTCCACTTTAAGTGTTTCCAGTTAAGCACTTTGAGACGTCTTGAAGACGTGATTTGGCCGATATCAAACGTAAGGGCTATTATTAATTCTGTGGGACGGCTTAACAGGGACGGAGCCGGGGGTGGGGGGAGGGCAATCGCCACTGCCTCTCAGCCCGTTCCTACTTCATGCTGAGTAAACAGGCCCTGTGGAATAAGGAAACTTGCCCAACATTTCGCCCTGACCAGGAATTGAACCCAGGGCCTCTCGTCTGCGAGGCGAATGCTCTAACCACTGAGCTACAGGACTCCACAAACACCAAAGCTCATCTCCTGTTTGCACTCTGCAGGATGACGTGTACTATAGAGAAGGTGCTGACGGATGCAAAGGCTCTGGTGGAACGGCTGAAGGACCACGACAATGCGGCCGAGTCTCTGATCGAACAGACGACCACACTCAACAGGCGCGTGGAGAGTATGAAAGAAGTCGGAACAGGGTTCCCAGACAGGGTAAGTTTTGACCCATATATAGCCGGTCGGCTAGGCTCAGTTGGTTCTCTCTTCTGAGTCAGAAAGTTGTGGGTTCAAGTCTGATATCAAGACCTTTGAGCTCCCGGTCGAAGCTGACATTCCAGTTGGTGCTGAGGGAGCACTGCATTGTTGGCACTTGCTTACTTTGGATGAGAAGTTAAGACCAAGGGCCTCTCTGATCGTTCAGTTGGATGTTAAAGATTCCCATAATAATAATAGTAGTAATCCTTGCATTTGATATAGCATCTCAGTGGAGTCCTGTAGCTCAGTGGTTAGAGCACTCGCTTTGCAAGTGAGAGACCTGAGTTCAATTCCAGGCAGAGGGCGAAACCTTGGGCAAGTTTCCTTACTCCACACAGAGCCTAATAATACTCCCTCCAAAACCAAAAACAATAATAAATTGGTCATTTTCAATCCACGACTGTTTGTGGGACATTGCTGTGCGCAATTGGCTGCCGCGTTCGCCCACAAATATACAGTCAATTCACTTTACAGTGTGTTCTGTGAAGCGCTTTGGGACGTCCTCCCGACGTGAAAAGCGCTATATCAAATGCAAGGATTATTATTATTATCATGTATCAAGACATCTCAAAAAGTGCTTCACAGCATATACTGTTAAGTTGTTTCACTGTGTTTTGAGGGCAAAATTATGTTATTTGAAAAGAGATGGGAGACTCTGGTGGTCCGCTCGCCTACACTCCTCCCAATTAATTGTCCATTCACCTCTTGGGTGTTTATGAGGTTGTGCTGTGCGTAACAACAACTTGCATTTATATAGCATCCGCGCGCAGGGTAGCGTCCGAGAGTGCTTGTGCAAATTGGCTGATACATTTGCCAATGTATCCGATGCACAATCACCGAACTTAACAATAGTTACTGTGAAACACTTTGAGACATTTTGATTCATAATCTACCTCATTTAGTTTAGTTTAATAATAATCCTTGCATTTGATATTGCGCCTTATCACATATTTGAGACGTCTCAAAGCACTTCACAGAATGTGCTGTAAAGTGCATTGATTGGGTACTTTGTTTCCCTGGACCTTTTAGGAGGCCTCACATTCGCATTGGGGATGTACATCCTTCTCGCCCATCTCACTGACTCTTTTTTGACCTTCTCCATCCCCAATAATGTTGCCCTTTCTGTTTTCAGAACCATGAAGATGTTGTAGAGTTGAACCAGCTAGCGAATCACAAACCACACGCCATCCTCTTGCAGGAAAACACACAGATCCGGGAGCTGCACCAGGAAAACAAAGGTCTTGCGTCTTTCATTATCAAACTGTGTGTTCTAGTGACAAATTGTTAATCAAAGAAATTCACATCGAGCCCCAGACGCTTCTCGTTCATAGAGGCTTTATGCACTGCTTGTTTTCTGCCACTGGATGTCACTGCCAATTCAGACAATTCTGTGCTAATTGTTGATAGTGCTCTGAGGATTCCTGTTAAGGCAGATCAACTTCTACAAATGACTGTCTTTAGCTGAAAGCTTTGCTTTCTCATGCCTAACTGCAGCCACTGTCTCTCTCTCTCTCGCTCTCCTGCCTTGAATAGAACTGTCTTGCAAAGTGAAGTTCTGGAATTGCATCCTTAAAACCAAGATGTTTATTATCTGAGCTTATCGCTGTTCTCCATCTCCCAACACCATCCCCAGGGCAGTGGGACGTGATGTACTAGCACCCAAAGCTTGGGATTAATGCATTCTCTGGGTGATTAGAGGGAAAACTGACTGCTGCTATTCTTGAAACTTGCTGTGAAAATAATGCCAATAATCCTTGCATTTGATACAGCAATTTATCACATCTTTGAGATGTCTCAAAGCGCTTCACAGAATATATTGTAAACTGTACTGACTATATATTTTGTGGGCGAAATGTGGCAGCCAATTGTACATAGCAGTGTCCCACAGACAGTCGTGAATTGAAGCGACTAATTTATTATTATTATTGAAGGAATTATTACTCCCAGAAAAGTGATCCGCCAATCAACTAACAACTAGGTTCCTACTTACTGCTAGTAAACAGGCACGTGGAGTAAGGAAGCTTTCCAACATTTCGCCCTGCCTGAGAATTGAACCCTGGTCTCTCGTTTGCGAGGCGAGTGCTCTAACCACTGAGCTACAGGACTCCACTAAAGTAAATGTCACAGCATTCGTTCTCATCTTTGCACACATGTACACTGAATGCAGAAGCATGCACCGCGCAAACACTACACACACACACACACACACAGAGCACACATGTATCACACACACGCAATGTAGACATGCATACAGCATACGCACACACGTGCATCTACAGCACGCGCACGCCACCTGAGCGCGCATGCCCAAAACACATCCATATATGCATGCTTATAGAGCACAGTGTATACATACATGCACAATTTGTATATGTACATGAACAATATGGATCTACATTCTGTAGAACTTATCTTGTCATTTAATTTCAGAACATGATACATAGCAAGATATGATAGATGCCCCTTAGGATTAGTGGAGACATGAAGAAGCTTCTCCACACCATATGTGTGGGATGAGAGCAGCTCTGTTGTGGAGATTCTGTTTTGTATAATTGGGGGTGAAACATGGCAGTATTTGAGCGCACCGCAAAGATTATCTGGTGAGAATGTTTTTGCCATTTTAAAGCTCTGTATATGTTGAATCTTGTCTTAAGTGCTGCTTCCTCCTATCAGAGCTGTGGCTTTCCCTGGAGGAGCATCACTATGCCTTGGAACTCATAATGAGTAAATACAGGAAACAGATGTTGCAATTTCTGGCAATGAAGCAAAAAACAGATATAACACTGGTCAACAACTTACACCAGGAGCACTCCCAGGTAATTACTGCATCATCTTACTCCAGCTTACTCCCATACTCCCCCCTTCCCTTACTCCAGGATTTTTCCTAGAAAACAAGATGCAGTGTCTGTACCAATGCGATGTTATCACTGTAATAATCTTTACATTAGGAGAGAATGAGACAGGTTCCTAACTGTGAAGTCTGGCACAGTTTGCAACCCATTTGCTGGGGTTCTCATCAAAGTGCTCCAGTGCTGGAAATGGAACCCTTCCCCCTTTGTGGAGTCCTGTAGCTTAGTGGTTAGAGCACTCTCCTCCCAAGCGAGAGAAGCTGGGTTTGATTCCCGGGCAAGGCAAAACCTTAGGCAAGTTTCCTTACTCCACACGCAGGTTTCCTTACTGCACACTAGAAGTAACTAGGAACCTGGTTGTTTTTCGATTGGCGTATCCCTTTCCGGGGATAATAATCCCTTCAACAAAAAAATATTTTGGTCACTGATTGTGTGCAATTGGCTGCCGCACTTTACCGACAAAAAATACAGTCAATTCACTTAACAGTATATTCTGTGAAGCGCTTTGAGACTTCTCGAAGACGTGATAAGGTGCTATATCAATTGCAGAGATTATTATTATTAATAATATTTGGGCACCCAAGCACTGCTCCTCACGTCTCCTGTAGTGGGTTAGTGATGGGCAAAGTTATTGTGTACCTGTCAGTGAATCTACCTGCAACGAATCAGCAAAACATCCCTCTATATTAACATCGAGCGCTCCAGGGTATACACAGTAGTAAAGTTGCCTCTGACTAACTCATCTTTTCATCCACCAACATCATCCCTAGCAGAAGCCAAGGGATAGTGACTAAGGTCCCCTCTGAGGTTAACATGGCATGAAACATGACAACAGCTTGCATTTATATAGCACCATTCACGCCGGGGTATTGTCTCAGAGCGGTTAACAATGGCAGAGCCTGACACTCGTTGGTAGTATTTTGTTTCCCTGACTGATTCTAGGTTGTTTCTATACTTTCATTTATTTTCCATAGTGTCTTGGTTCAACAACAACAAATTATATTTGTATAGCGCCTTTCCTGTCTGGAAGACGTCCGAAGGAGCATCGTTCACGCCTTACGTCACAGGTGTCTCAGCTTTTGGATGAGATGTTAAATTGAGATCCTGTCTGCTTACCAAGGTGGATGACAAAGAATCCATGTGTTCACCTCCAAATACATAAGTCACTATACAATAATTACTGCTTTGAACTGTTTTGATGTTCTGAACATTGTATTAAATGTAAGGATTATTATTAAACTTCTAGGAGCTGCAGACAAAAGTGGAGCAGATCTGTGACATGGGCACAGTCATGAGGAGAGCTGTTCAGATGGACGACCATCGTTCCTGTCGCGTTCAGGAGAAGGTAGCGCAGCTGGAGGTAGGCTTCTGAAGTCTTTACCCTGATAGTAAAGACTAATGATGTACCCATTAAACCCACTTACTGCCAATCTATCCTTTGTTCTTTCCTTCTCAACAACAAATTACATTTACACAGAGCCTTTCGCATCGGGAAGACGTCCCAAGGCGCTGGACAGTCAGGGATTTGGACCCACCTGGGAGTTGAGATCAGGAGGGGTGGCCCTTCTTCACGATGCATGAATCCACCCTGCTTTTGTAGCCCTTGTCCATTGCGTTTCTTGAAGTTTGATTTCTGTGATGCTCTCCCCTCTGTCCTCTCTGGATCCACTTCATCTCATCCACAATTTCATGGTCACATTCTGTCCTACCAGCTTATATGCTGCTGAGGTCCGCTGGCTCCTTGTCCCTCAGTGCAATGATTTTTGAGACCCTCTTTCACATTTTCACTTCCCTCTTCAGTCTCTCTCACTCTTTCTGTCCAATCTTCCTCACCGCAATGCCTCAGCCCATTGTGTCTGCGGTTTACTGCTTGTTCCCCACTCCCTGCCCCACTAAGTGGAATCCTGTAGCTCAGTAGTTACAGCACTTGCCTTGCAAGTGAGAGAACCCAGGCAGGGCGGATCATTGGGCAAGTTTCCTTACTCCACATGCCTCTGTTTACCGCGCAGTAGCAGTAAGTAGGAACCCGGTTGTTAGTCAATTGACGGATCACTTTACCAGCGGGTAATAATCTCTTGAAGAAAAAAAATAAATTTGGTCACTCAATCCACAGCAATTTGTGGGACACTGCTGTTCCTAATCGGCTGCCGCATTTCGCCCACAAAATATACACTTAATTCACTTTACAGTGTATTCTGTGAGGCGCTTTGAGATACCTTGAAGACATGATAAGGCGTTATATCAAATGCAACGATTATTTTTATTATTAAGTCCTCAATCACTGCACCACTTTCTCTTAAAAGTACTTCCAGAACTACTTTACCTCACTGCATTTCCTTACTTTCTAAAGATTTTATCTCTTTGTTCATGCCTTTGGTCACCTCTACATTTCTCGTTTCTTTCTCAGTGTGTGAAAGACTCTGTTGTGATTTGATATGAATGACGCCGTGTAACTGCAGCTCCTGTGGACATTTCTCCTTTTTTAGCTGGAAAACCGAGAGCTGAGAGAGTTGGTTATGCTGAGTAAGGAGATTTCGTTGAAAGAAAAGACATGCGAGAACGCTGGACAGGCTCCATGTGCAAAATAGCATCTCTCTCTGCCTTTATGTGTGTGTGTGTGCCTGTGCGTGTGTATGCACACAAATGTACGCCTATGTGTGTGTCTCTCTCACACTCTTGATCTCGCTCAATCTCTTGCTCTCTGTGAGGGTGCTGAGATGGCCTCTTGCACTGTGCCTCCGCACCACATGAACTGTCTCACAAACTCACAGCTGGCTGTGTTATTACAGATGTAACACAGATGTGAGATTTCTATGGGGGAGGGGAGAGAAGGAGGGAAGGAAACAGCAAACCCAAACACTGTAGACAGGAGCAAATACTTGCTTTTGAGCAAAACGTTTGCATTTTACGGGTACTGCTTTTGCATGGTGACCAAAAAGTAGTGATATCTACCCTATTATCTAAAAAAAAATTCTTTAATATTTATACCATTGTAATGGTATCAACTTTTTGGTCAACCTGTACTTTCTCTTCCTTCCCCAACTTTGCCAAAAAATGGTCAGTTATTTATCTCACTTCAGTTGTCTCACACTCCTGCCTGGTGCTTGGCAGTCACTAGATCCCATGTTACTACATTGGGTGAAAGAACAAAGGTTGGTTCTTCTTGAGAACTCAGTGGTTGATTCACTGCGAAGAGTGGCACTGAGACGAACCAAACTCAGAGGTCTCAAATTCAAATGACCAGAGTTTTGTGTTTTGTGTAAGTAAATCAAAGACAGGGCAGCAATTGTCAGAAAGGACAATTGCTGTCTTGCAAACTTGGTTAATAAGGAGCTGTTCTGTGGAATCAAGTTCAAGATCACCTTAATCTTTCCGAGGTGAAATGATCATGTAAAATCTTTAGAGACTTCATCTATGTAGGTGCAGTTTGTGATTATGTGTAAACCACAGAGACTCTCAGTGTCATTGCTGCTTTTACACTGGAGGAGGGTTAGAATGGGAAAGGACTGACCATGTGAGATTGTAATACACTGCAATACCATGCTGCACCCCAAACAAAGAGGTAGAGCCACACGTGGTGAGTTCATTATCTCCCAGGGATGAACAGAGCCCAGGTGCCTTCAGGAGCCAGCGACAGCTGCCCCAACCTGTGTGCTTAGAGTATGTGCCAGGAATCTCTCCAGGCATCTCTGGAACAGTAAGAAGCTAAGATTCAAAGTGGGCAACACAGAGGTCTCCTAATCACTGTGTTGGTAGCTGAAATATCTTCTCATTGAAACCACTGGTTTCACATCTTTCATTTGGAAGAGGATAACGTTGAAGCTGAAAACTTTGTCTACACCAAACTCAAGGTCATACTTCGCAATTGTCAAAGCGTGTCCTCAATGCATTTTTGTCAAAAGCTTTGCGATGTTAAATGTTCAAGCTATTGAATGCCAGTGTTCTGCTGGAGTCTCTGAAATGGTTTGTAAATGTACTTAAGATGGTAATAAAGGATGATTTTGATTGTCTGGGCGTTTATTTATCCTGATGAAACTATGTGCTAAGCAAGTGCGTAAATTCATTGGGTAGTGAAACCAAAGACTAGATTTAAACACACTTGCTGAGCGATAGGCAGGAGGTAATACTGGAGAGGGGGGCGAGTACTGTGTTGAGAAAATAATCCAAGGTTTTGCCCATAAAATATACAGTCAATTCACTTTACAGTACATTCTGTGAAGCGCTTTGAGACATCTCGAAGATGTGATGAGGCGCTATAGTCTGCTGAGAGTCAGTTCGATATGGGGTTAGCTGGTTGCAGAGTAGGGGGAAAGAGAGGCCGTGGAGGGATTTGAATGTGGGGATCAGGATCTTGAACTATAGCATCTGTGTCATGGGAAGTCAGTGGAGTCAGGCAAGGATGGGGGTGATAGGGTCACGGAGCCTGGTGCAGGAAAGGACGGGCTGCAGAGTTCTGGGTGATCTGCAGCTTTTGGAAAAAAGGGGAAGGCTGACGAGCGGGGAGTTGGTGTAGTCGAGCCTAGATGTGATGAACACATGGATGAGGGTTTCGGCGGCTTGAGGAGTGATGCAGTGGTGGAGCCAGGCGATGTGGCAGTGGGAGGAAGGCAGAGCGGGTCATGGAACAGATGTGGGGTAGAAAGGGTAGGTCAAACAAGACGCCGAGGTTCTGAACTGGCTCAGTGAGGTGCAGTGTGCCTCCCTGGAAGGTGATAATGCCAGCACCTGAGATGTGGAGGTGCTGACGGAGCCAATCAGGAGAGCCTCGGTCTTGTTGATGATCAGACCTTGATGTCTGACAGACATTCTGTCAGGACTGTAGTCCTGGAGTCGAGGGTGGAGGCAGAGAGGTAGAGTTGGGTGTCATCCGCATCTGGAAGTTGGCCCCACATCTGTGGATGATGTCATCAAGAGGTAGCATGTAGATATTGAAGAGGAGAGGACCAAGAACGAGCGCCGAGGACTGCAGCACGAGACTGCGTGGGCTGGAGGAGAAGTAGATAAAGTGCAGATGGTGTGAAAGGTAGGATTTGAACCATGGAGCCTGGTGCAGGAGAGAACACGGGTTGTAGAGTTCTGGATGATCTGCAGCTGATGGAGGGAGGAGTTGGGGAGGCCGACAAACGAGTTTGTTAGTCAAGCCTGGATGTTATGAATGCGTGAATGAGGGTTTCGGCGTCCTGCGGTGTGAAACAGTGGTGGAGCCGGGCGATGTTGCAGAGGTGGGGAAGACGGGCAGGTTATGGCACAGATGTGGGGTAGAAAGGATAGTTGAGGGTCAAACAAGGCCCCAAGGTTCTGGACTGGCTCAGTGAGGGGGAGTGTGCAACTGGATGATGAAGCTGTCTCCATGCCTGAGGTGTGGAGGCACTGACGAGCCAATCCGGATGGCTTCGGCCTTGTTGATGTTCAACTGAAGAAATTTAGCTCGCATCCAGGACTTGATGTCTGACAGATATTCTCTCAGGACAGCAGTGGTTCTGAAGTCAAGGGTGGAGGCAGAGAGATAGAGATACATGTGGAATTTAACCGCGTTTCTGCAGATGATGTTACCAAGAGGGAGCATATAGATATTGAAGAGGAGGAGACCAAGGACAGAGCCCTGAGGAACACCGTATAAGATGGTACGGGGGCTGGAGGAGAAACCACTTGTGGAGAAGAAGTGGAGGTGGTGTAAGAGATAGGATCCAAACCAGTCAAGGACAGAACCATGAAGGTTGAGGTGAGAGGAGAGGGAGTGGAGGGGGATAGAGTGGTCAACAGTATCAAAGGAAGCAGAGAGGTCAAGGAGGACGAGGAGGCAGAGGGAGCCCTGGTCTCAGATGGACAAATGTTATTTGTCACTTTGACCAGGGCTGTTTCTGTGCTGTGGGTGGCACGGAAACCCGATTGGAGGGGTTCATGAAGGAAGTGGCAAGAGAGGAAGGAGCAAAGCTGTAAAGCAACAACTCATTCCATGTTCAACGACTCATTCAAGGACCTTGGAAAGGAAAGGATGGTTAGAGATGGGGCTGTAGTTTGAGAAGAGGGATGAGTTGAGGGAAGGTTTTCTGAGAATAAGGGTGATTATGCTGTTTTTTAAGGGGATGGGAACAGTGCCAGTGGACAGAGAGATTGTTGAGGTCTGTGAGCAGAGAAGCTAGGAGGTGGAGCTGGGAGTAAGGAAGGGTAGGGATGGGGTCAAGGGAACAGCTGATGGGTTTCATTTGGGTTATAATGGTGAGAGAGTAGGGAGAAATAGGTTTGAAGATGTGGAGGCAAGGATGAACAGAAGCCAGAGTGTGAGGGGGAGATGGGAGGTGTTCTCAGTTGGCTGAGCGGAACCCCTTGATTTTGGTCTCAACAACAACAAAAATAACTTGGGTTTATATAGCGCCCTCCACGCCGGACAGTGTCTCATGTGCAGCATCTCCTCACAGTTGGAGTTGCAGATAAATTAATTCTCCTCAATGCTGCTTGTGGGACTTTGCTTTTGTGCAAATTGACTGCCACAATAGCCTAAAAATGGCTAAAATGGTTAACAAACTGGACACCAGTGAGCTATGACGCACTTTGAGATTTTTTGACTGGATAAACGCTGTCTCAAATGCAAGGTTTATCTTCTCATTAGGGAAGAATCTTTTCATCTTGAGGAAGGAGGATTCACATTTTTACCACTTCTGACCATGACCTACAGCAAGTTTGTGAGCAACAAGTCGGTCGTTGTGACCTGCTTTCTGTCATCGAATGATTGTCTTCACTTTATTCAACTCGAGTTCTGAATTCTTGCTTGAAAGAACATTAGGAAGTCTGGATGGAGAAAAAGCCTTGTGGCATCTAGCTTCCTTCTCGTGGGGTCTGCACACTGTGGGGTCCCTAAGCCCTTGCTTAGACTAGTGAACATGGGTCATGTGAGCTTTTGCTCATCACGTGTTGATGCATGTACAAGTGTCTGAGATACTACCTGTGTGCAGGGTGCAAGTTGTTGGTGTACACCCAGTACATAAAATATTTCCAATGATTTGTCACTCTCACAGTCCACAAGGTCAGCTTATGTAGCAAATGAGAGATCACACCTCAATCTGGCATTCAGGTAAAAATAGTGTAGTTTTTCTCAGCCTCAATAACCAGGAGGCCCGGGTAATAAGACTTTTTTTTGGTCAGCCGGGTGTCTTGACAGGTGGAAACTCATCACCAATAATTAAGAGTATCCAAACTAAGCTGAGATTTCCATGCATCCCATCTACACATGAAAATCCCAGAGATAGATTGTTAGAATGGAATTGCTCTCTCTCCTTGGAGATATACAAGCCAGTTGTTAGTGGCTCAGTGGTTAGAGCACTCGTCTCTCAAGCGAGAGATCTGGGTTCGATTCTCGGCAGACCGAAACCTTGGGCAAGTTTCCTTACTCCACATGCCTGATAATAATCCCTCCAAAACAAAACAATAATAAATTGGACATTTCAATCCATGACTGTTCGTGGGACACTGCTGTGCGCATTTGGCTGCCATATTTCGCCCACAAATATACGGTCAGTTCACTTTACAGTACATTCTGTGTAAGCGCTTTGAAACGTCTAGAAGACGTGAAAAGTGTTATATCAAATGCAAGGATTATTATTATTATAACATCGCCCGACTCCGCCACTACCTCACCCCTCAGGCCGCTGAAACTCTTGTTCATGCCTTCATCACCACCAGGCTTGACTATGCAAATGCCCTGCTTGTCAGCCTTCCCAACTCCTCCCTCCACAGGCTGCAGATAATCCAGAACTAACTCTGCAGCCCATGTCCTCTCCCGCACCAAACACCGTGACCCCATCTCCCCCACTCTCACCTGACTCCATTGGCTCCCTATCCTTCAGAGGATCCAGTTCAAAATCCTGGTCCTCACCTACAAAGCACTCAATGGTCTCGCCCCACCCTATCTCTGTGACATCCTATCCTTCAAGTCCAGCCTCAAAACCCTCCTCTTTGACCATGCGATTGGTCACCCCCTTCCCCTCCCTTCTCCCCCCTGACCCCAGCTCGGGTCTGAAATGCTGTACTCTGTCCAGCACCTTGGGACGTCCTGCCGACATGAAAGGCACGATGCAAATGTAATCTTGTATTATTATATTTCCTGCTTACCTAATTCCAGAAAGTATTAGGAACAGGTTGGCTATAGCCAAGGCTTCAGGACCCAAGAGTGGGCGTTGGGGTAACTGCTGGAGTCTAACCAGCTAAAGCTGCATAGCTTGCTATTGATATCACTGTTTGGCAAGCTTTCCCACTACTTGTCCAGCTAGGACCACCCTACCCTTCGGGGCTTTGGCTTGCAAGGTTAACAGGAGCTGAGTGGAATGATTCCCTGCCCCCAGTGACTGACCTGTCCTGCCGCTGAGCCAGGCTGGGTTGTGCTGTGCTGTGAGCAGCAGTTCCCTGGAATACTGCGGATCTACCTGGCTCAGGAACTGGACTAGAGATCATCACAGAAGATAGCTTTATTCTGACAAGCATGTCACTTAGGAGCCACTTCAGCTCCAAAGAGGCACCACTTAAGATATATATAGTGTGTAGGTGTAAGATAGCAATTAGAGAATCTAAAGAGAATTTAAGAGGAACTACTTCAACAACAACAACAACAAGATTCCATTTATTGAGCGCCTTTCACGTCGGGAGGACGTCCCAAGGCGCTGTACAGTTGGGTCAGGACCCGAGCAAGGGGGAAATGGTCAGGGTGAGGGGAGGGAAGGGAGGGAGCGAGGAGGGGGTAGAGAGTCAAGAGGGGAGCTGAAGGCACGGTCAAAGAGAAATTATTTTTTAGTCCGATGTGGATGGAGCGGTTGACAGAAGGGTGCGTGGGAGGGGAGGGGGGTCCAGGTTTGAGGCAGGGGTGGGGGAAATGGGGATAAGGGAGGAGAGGTTGGCCCGGGGTGGCTGGCGAGTGTGGTGGGGAATGGGGCAGTCGGTGTGGCTGCTGCAGAAGGTAGTAAGATTATGGAACTCACTGCTTAAAGTGTTGGTTGCTTCAGGTAGTATAGATAATAATAATCCCTATATTTGATATAGTGCCTTCTCACATCTTCAAGACGTTTCAAAGCGCTTCATGGAATATACTTTAAAGTGAATTGACTGTATATTTGCGGGTGAAATGCGGCAGCCAATTGTGCACAGCAGTGTCCCACAAACAGTTGTGGATTGAAGTGACCAATTTATTAATGGGTTTTTTTCTTGAAGGATTATTATCAGGTGTGGGGAGTAAGGAAACTTGCCCAAGGTTTTACCCTGCCGGGAAACGAACCCAGTTCTCTCGCTTGCAAAGCAAGTGCTCTAACCACTGAGCTACAGGACTCCATTTAAGAGGAAGTTAGATGTACAATTGACGGAGAAGGGTATGGGAGAAATTCAGGAGTGGTTAGAGGGTATGAACACTGGCACAGACTAGTTGGGCTGAATGACCATATAATGACTTTCATTACTGAACTGCACACACACACTGAAACTGCCTCCTCCCTTGTACATCAAACCCAGCGCCTCAGAGAGTTGTCCACACCATAGCCTCTGTTCCTCTGATGGATGTTTGATGCTGGGAGTTAATCCAATGACAGCTGCAGTCCGCACTGTGATGTCAGGATGTAAGCACACAAGTAAATGTAACTCATGTTAATCATCTGAAAAACACTCCCAGTGAGACATGTCTTCTGTCTTTACCTAACCAATAGCTTTGGTAACCCAAATAGCTAACAATATGCCTGGCTCAGGCTTGCCTCTGAGGCAGACGGTTGTACGTTCAAGCCTCACGTCAAGACTTTGAGCGCATATTGTCTAGACTAACATTCCAATGTAGTACAGGGGGTGCTGCATTGTTGGTGGTGCTGTCCTTTATATGATACATAGAATTACATAGAGTGATATGGCAAGGAAACAGGCTATTTGACCAAATTATTTGCAGGGTTTTTGTCCTGGACCCTGAAAGAAACTCTTTTCCAATAGTATGAGTGGACCTTTTAATTCAACCTAAATAGGCAGTCGGGACATTAGTTTAAAGACAGAATCTCACTCTAGCACTTGAGCAGCAGTCTGGACTATGAGCTGAAGTCCTGACATGAAGACTGAAATTACAATCTTCTGAACCAGGGATGAGAGTACTCCTCACCTGAACTAAAATTTGGAAGAAAAGAAAAGCAGCATAATTGCTGGAAAGATGTTTGTAATCACATTGGAAAATGATTTAGAAAGGAAAAATTTAGCAGCTGAGAACCTGCAATTGAACCAGTGAGAATGTTGCAAAAGCATCAAACATCACTCAGTGTGTGAGGTTCACCCAAACATGAGTGTCTTTATCTTCCAGAGCTGAAGAACCTGTCCAGCATTGTGTTTATATTTTGAAAAGTGATGTACTGTATTGCGAAGGTGGGTGAACACTGGTTCAGGCTCGGCTGTGATGTCAAGATTCACATATAAAGAATAGCCACTTGGCTAGTCCTGGATCGATACCCTAATAAGACCTATCAAATTCCTTCATGGTTTCACACGTTGTAATCTCCAGCCCTATATTCCAGCCTGCACCCTCCGCTCTTATAACTCCTTACTCTTTACTATGATTAGCTTGCTTTCAGGCAGGACGGTCCCTGCCCTCTGGAATGTTCCTACAAAGCCCTGTATCTTCAAAAATCTCCTGAAAACACTTCTCTTCGATCTTACCTTCGTCATTGTCTTTAAATCACATATTTCCCTGGTTAAAGTCCTGTAGCGAGAGGACCTGTCTTTGATTCCTGGCAGAGCGAAACATTGGGTAACTATCCTTACTCCACACTCCTCTGTTTACTTAGCGGTAAGTAAGAACCCGGTTGTTAGTCAATTCGTGGATCGCTTTTTCAGGGGTAATAACGGTTGTTTGTGGGACACTGCTGTGCGCAATTGCCGACAAAATACACAGTCAATTCACTTTACTGTATATTCTGTGAAGTGCTTTGAGATATCTAGAAGATGTGAAAAGCGCTATATCAAATGCAAGTATTATTATATTAAAATACATGAGTGATTTATTCTAAAGCTTTGATATGCTTTTTTACAGGGTGAGGTTGGTTGAGTCAAAGTCTTCAGGAGAAAACAGAAAATAATGGCTATTCTTTAGTCTGAACCTTCAACACAGGAGGCTATTCTTCCCAAACTATCTGGGCTCTGCTAACTTCAACACCTGAGCTGGTGGCATTCCAAATCCTAGTTCTTTTCCCCATATCCTTTTACTGTATATCATCACTTTTGCAGCGGGTAGATATGAAAGGTTATAGGGAAAGAACAGAGAATTAGAATAAAGTGATCTAATTGGACGTCTTAGCTAAAGCGTTTAAATTCTTTTGAAGTGTGATTACCTGATTTCAGTAGCCGCTTGTGGCAGCACGTCTCAACAGAACACAATTAATCGTCAACGACAACAACTTGCATTTACAAAGGCCCTTTACTCAGTATAGCACTGGGGTTGGACTCCAAGCAAAGAGTGATATTCACACCTAGCTTCTGTAAGTCATCTTTTAGTTGTGCTTTTAGTTGATTTTCAGCTAACTTAAGTGGCTCCATATATAATAGTCCAAATAATCACTCCCATGAAAATCATTTCCTTACTATACAATATACTATTGTTTATTTTGTCAAACTTTGATAAATGACTACATTTCATTTAAACATAACACATTCAAGTAGAGGGCTATCTACACTGCCCGAATTGAGGAGACCTGAATTACAATGTTGTGCACGATCGGTATTTGCCCTTTCTCTTCAGGATAAGTTCCTCAGTTTTTGGTCACACAGCTCAAAGGAACCCTACATGCGTGTCAGTTGAATGCACTCAACACAAATGTAAAGGAGAATTGTGATGTGAATATATTAATAGGATGAAGCAATTTCAAGGTTAATTTGAAGAGAAGGGAGGAAATCGAGGTGGAAAAACAAACAACTCCAGTATGGTTGTGCTGAAATTAACAGGAGAAAATTAGCTCAATGTACACGGTATGGAATGTCCCCATCTGACTTTGTTTATATTACTGAATTACGAGGCAGCTGTCTGCTACTAAATATACCAGAGATCACAATCTCTTTCCTCTGAGAGGGTTTGATTTCACTGTCGTGAGGCCTCCTTACAAGAGAGTATTGGGCGAAACGTTAGGCAAGTGTCCTTACTCCACCTGCCTCTTGTTTACCTAGCAGTAAGTAGGAACCCACTTGTTATTACTGCAATTGTCGCATCGCTTTCTGGGGTGTAATAATTCCTTCAAAAATTTTATTTAAAAAATAATAAAAATTTGGTACTCACTCCACGACTGGTTGTGGGACACTGCTGTGTGCAATTGGCTGCTGGTTTCGCCCACAAATATACAGTCAATTCACTTTAGACTACATTCTGTGAAGTGTTCTAAGACATCTCGAAGATAATGCGTTGTATCAAATGCAAGGATTATTATTATTATTATTTGTGATACAAATCTGTTTTAGAAGCAATGGGATTACCTGCACTCACCTGGTAGAAGATAAGGTGATCAGTTAATGGGCAAAGACTAAAGACTCATCCAGCTTTTTACAGGAAAATGCTTTACCTTGAACAAAGAACTGAGAGGAGAACCGCTAAAGGTTTTTACAATTCTGAGAAGTTTCGATATTATAAACAGAGAGAAATTATTTCCATGGTTTGGTGAGGCAATAACTGGAGGACATAGATTTAAAGTAATGAGGAAAAGAATAAAGGAATCTGAAATGTAGTTGAAGCAGAATTCATATTTGCCTTTAAGAAGGAATTAGATGTTTATTTGAAAAGGTTCTCCATATTTCTATATGTTTGGTGGAAAAGGCTGGAGAAGGGGACTAATCAAAGCATTATTTTGCAGAACCTTCACAGATACAATGGCCCAAGTGATGGCTCTCTGGAAGAGCTGTTAGTTTGTTCTTTGTTCCAAGTGCTATAAATTTCTATGATTCACTGTTACTATTTAGGGCACATCACAGAAAGTTGTGAGTCTGACTTTCTCCGGCTTACTGTGTTAAATGACAATGTAGCCCTGTGTAAACAGTAAATGGAGTGGGCAGGAATCAAATAATAATAATAATTTGATACAGCGCCTTATCACGTCATCGAGGCTTCTCAAAGGGTTTCACAGAACATACTGTAAAGTGCATTGACTGTATATTTTGTGGGAGAAATAAAAATTCTGTGATAAAATAATTTTAAAAATAGGTGACTGCTTTTAAAACTGTGCAAGAAAAGGTCTCGAAAGGTGAAAAAAAAGACGTTTTACATTGAAACCCTTAAAACCAATGAGGTCACCCACCATCCCGCCCAATGCAGATTTTTTTCACGCAGAAACGCCACAGAAACCCGCCCAATTGGGCGTGAAAACCGCCCACTCCGCGCCACACTGGGGCTGTAGCCCCGCCCCAGAATTGCCCACTTCTCGCGGGACTTGGCAGTCGACGCGGCCGTTCTCGCGAGACCGGGGCTCATTCCTACGTCACGTGCCGCGCTGCTTATGGCGGCGCTGGAGTGCTGCTGCTGTTGGGGTGAGTGGCCGATTCGCTTTTTTCGCTCGCTTTTCGCTTCCCTCTCCTCATCCGAGGGCGGGTGGCGACACGGCTCGGCCTCGCGGTTGCGGGGAGCGCGGAGACAAAAGGCGGCGGCTATGTGGGGTGAGCGCAGGCGGGTGCGGGCTCGGGCTCGGCATCTGCGCCATGATGATAATCATGCTGCTGATGTCGGGGGGGCGGGGAGGAGAGACAGAGAGAGGGTTGTTATGTTTTTGTTCAGGTTCCTGCCGCTCCCCCTCCTCCCCCGTCAACTATATTCAAAATGGAGGATTCCTCCGTCCCTCGCTGTACGTTGGCGTGCGTCACGCCGGGCCGCCCGCCGTTTGGGTTCAATAACGAAGCCGTTTTTTTTGTTTGCCGGTGGTGAAGGGGGGGGGGTGAGCCATTGTGGGGGTGGGTTGGCGTTTTGACGGACGTAGCCCTGAGCCAATGGGGCGAAGGCTCATGGGCGGGACTTCCGGGTGCGACGCAGTGCGTGCCGGGAGTTGTAGTTTGCCGGGTGGTGGCTGGTGGGGGGGGGCGGCAATTGAGGGACGCGGCGAGCGGCTCCATGCGGGGCGCGGGCGGGCGGGCGGGACAGGACGGGCCGTCCCGCGCTGCGGTGCCCGACAGGAAGTGTAGTTTCTGGCGCTTGGTTCTGCTCCAGTTGGGCTCGAAGCGGGTGTGTAACTCCCAGCCAGCACCGCGCGCTCCCCCCCCCACCTCACGTATGGCCAAAAAGTCAGTGGAATTTGCGCAGCTTTGCCTCGGGTGGTGCCTGCGTTTTGTTTTGCAAAGCCCGAGAACGAGTGAGACAATACTTGAAGCTGGTTCTCAATCAGAATGTGCTGAGCCCCGGGCTGACAGCTTACGTCCATTTTTAAGGTGGCGTTTGTTTTTTTTTGAGCGAGAGCAGGAGAAGGATTACAGGCAGGAAGGACAATGGTGCAACTGGGTTTTATTCGAATAACCAGCACATTGTAGAGCGTTTTCGTTCCTATGTATTCTTCCATTTCTGTTTGTTTAATATCTGGATTCTGCACAAACTAACTCCCTGAGGTGTCACTGACAACAGCTGTTTTGCAGTTGGTATATTTGGTATTTTAATCGTGCATTTTAGAGCAGGGCCATGATTGCTGAGGGCTAATACATGTCCTTTAAAAACTAAAATGGAGGGGGTAGGAGTTGGTCAATGAGTTGCAATGCAGATACTGTGACAGGGCATCCGGGTGATTTATGTGCAGAAGGCCTTTGCAAAATTGAATCAAAGCCAAATCATCTTATGGGACTGTGATCAATTCAAATTGAATTTTAAAATACACTCATTTAAGATGTTCAGGCAGTATAACTAATTCTCTTCTCCAGGAGAGAATTGTTTTAATTTGTTTAGCTGTCACCAGAACAAAGCTTTCAATGTGCGTAATTTGGAGAATTCCTTTACCAGATTGTGTCCAATCTGCGTAGTCAATTGCAAGATATTCTGCCTTTGCTGAAAAGCTTCAGTTGTTAAACATGAGCAAGTAGCTCAGTGGTTAGCGCACTCACCTCGCAAGTGAGAGACATGGGTTTGATTCCCGGCAGGGTGAAATCTTGGGCAAGTTTCCTTACTCCACATGCCTGATAATAATCACTCAAGAAAAAAAACAATAATAATTTGGTCACTTCAATCGACGACTGTGGGACATTGCTGGGTGCAATTGGCTGCTGCGTTTTGCTTACAAATATACAGTCAATTCACTTTACAGTATATTCTGTGAAGTGCTTTGAGATGCCTCGAAGATGTGAAAAGCGCTATATCAAATGCAAGGATTATTATTGAGAAGAATCCTATCAATTAATCATTATGTATGATCTTTATATACATTTAGTGTGAATAGTGCAGTTGTTAATGTGTATTCTACTTTTAGTTAATTTAAGGCACTGTTATTTGCTTATTAGCCTTTTGCCTCTTCCTAAACTGACCTATGTCCATAGTAATTACAGGAATGAAATGGTATGAAACGTTTAAAAAAAGTCACAATTCCAACACACAGAAAAGAAACATTTAGCCCATCAATGTTGTGGTGTGCTAACTCCCCACTAGAGCAATCTACTCTAGTATCCTACATCCCTGCCCTTTCCTCATCTTTTTTACATATCACTGAGCCTGTCTTTGTTAGTCAGAAGATTAACAGTTTATGGCCCACATTGGGGCTTTGAGCTTGCAGTATGGCCTGACTCACCAGAGCAGTGGGTGGGGAAATGCTGCGTGATTAGAGATGTTGTCAGATGAGATTTAAACAAAGGTCCCATCTGCTTGTTCAATTGGACATTAATCCCACCCAGATTAAATATCAATTGACATCATAGCTTTTTGTGGGACATTGTGCACACATTGACTGCTGTATTCACCTGCACAGTCACAACACATGTTCATTTGATATGTAATACACCTCCATGATAGATTTTTTTTAAAAAATCTTGAATAATTACAAAATCATACAGAACAGGGTTTTAGATTTGAATTCTGGTTTCCGTTATCTCCACATAACAACAACAAGATTACATTTGCATAGCGCCTTTCACGTCATGGAAAGGGAAACTCATTAATGATAGTGTAAATCAAGAGAGGACAAGATTGGGCTATTTTAGATGATGTACTGAAATTGATTAATAGTGTCTTCAGGAAACAGAGGATAAGAGTGGCAAGAAAAATTGCCACAGCTCCCATACAGAAAGGTTTTGGAGGGTAACTAGCATGTGGGTGCCTATTCTTAACATGAGTCAGCAGATTTGACTGTAGAATGGGAATTATTTTTTATCAAATCAATGCACATTGTATCTAATTGAAGTCAAGATTTAGCTTGATAGAACCTTATTAACAAGATGCTTGGAATTGCAGAAATCTTAAATAAGTAGGTGCTTGAGTTTACTAATTATTAGTGTAGTTTGTCAGCCTCCAGGCAAAACCATATTGCACATCACTGCCACCAATTATGGTTTGGCTATTTGAATGTGCGGTGTATGCATGAGCTACTGGAGTAAGATAGCATCATAGAACTTTACAGGGCAGGAGGAGGCCACCTGGCCCATTTTTGGACTCCCTTCTCTTTTTGAATAGTGCCATTGGATCTTTAATGCCTCCCTAAACAGTCAGATGGAACCTTAGTTTAATCTCATCTGAAGGTGACGCCTCAGACAATGCAGCGCTCCCCTAGCAGAGTGTCAGCCCAGACAACAACAACTTCGATTTATATAGCGCCCTCCACGCCGGATGGCGTCTCAGAGCGCTTTACAGTAACGGATCCTGGGACCGAGCCAGGGGGAGGAACACCATGTGCACAAGTCCAAATGTAGAGTGTGAATCCACAAGCTTTTGACTCGGATGCAAGATTGCTACCCACTGAGCCAGGCTGACATTTTTTTTCAGGTTTCCTCTCAATTTCTTTGTTCCAGGGAAAACTGCCCCAGCTCCATCATGCTTCTCATAACTAAAATATCATTTCTGGTATCTTAGTAAATCTCTTTTGCATCCACTGTGGTCTTGACATCCTTCCTATAGTGCAGTGGGGGTGGGGGGCTTTCCCAAGTGCAGCCTAAATAATGATTTATGTATCATGACCCTGTTGCTTTTACCTTGTGCATGCTTATTGATAGCAAATTGGTGCATTATAACAGACAAAATAGTGCAGGTCACACCTGGGCAACTGACTTCCTTTGTGTTGTAGTTTACAGAAGTTCTGCTAACCTGTGTCTGACTCCATTGAGCTCTCGTTATTTCATTTGAACATTCTAAGGAGCTTGTTTTAAAAGTGCTGTGCTCGGTTTTACACACATTGGTCTCATTTTTTTTGTGGAAGTGATGAGCTCCCTGTAGCCTTATTCTCTCATGAAGAGACTAGACATTTTCATTCCACTGGGAATGTGGTTACGTGAATGCTGGAAGCTCTGCTGAGGTGGGAATGGAGCAATGTGAGGAGGCTGTTTGTCTCAGGGTGTCACTGCTGTATTTATTGCCTTCAGGGGGGGCAATGCATTTCCACAGTTTATCTCTTAAATTAGGATTATTCTACATTAGATTACTAGAAGGAAGAGTTAGTCTGGGTGTGCCCAGTCAATTCTCTTTATTTTAAGCACCTGAACCAGATCATAACCTCATCAGCAAAGGAGAATGTAACAAGTTTACCTAACTTCTCATAGCTAAAAGTCTATTTATCCCATTATGATGAATTGTCAGTGGATTTTCTCCCAAGGTGGGTGCCCCAAACTGAACAAATACTCTAAATAAGTTCTCATTTCTCTGTACAAATGCAGTGGTATGTCATGATCATAAGTTTGGATAAGTCACTCACTTGATCACATCCTTCCAGAATCTGAATAGCACTGTATTTCCATAATAACATTAAACCGTTCTGTAAGCTCCATCACCCTTACTGCTAATTAATTCTGGCTGTTGATTACCTTTTGTGTAAACAATAATCCTTGCATTTGATATCATGTTTGAGACATCTCAAAACGGTTCACAGAATATACTGTAAAGTGAATATACTGTATGTTTTATGGGTGAAGTACAGTAGCCAATTGCGCACAGCGGTGTCCCACAAACAGTTGTGAATTGAGTGACCACATTTTTATTTAATGAATATTTATCTTGCTAAAATGGCACCTCATAATCCAATACCCCGCCATATCCCTCTACCCTCAAATGCCTCTCTACTCTCCTCTCAAAAGCCATAATGGAATCCACTAGCCTAGACAACAGGATGTTCCACATTCCCAACAACTCTGCGTGAAAAAATATTTTTCCAGTTCTCCTTTTGCTGTTTTTATGACTATCTTAGAACTATATCCCCTGGTCACTGACTCCCCTATCCGTGGAAATAACTTCTCCCTATTTACCCAGTTAAATCCCCTCTTAATTTTGTATATAAGCTACATGTATCTGGATTGGATATGGTAATATAGTTTTCTGTATGTGTTAGACAATTGGTTGATTAAATAAAAAGATGCACGCAGAAAACAATCACCAAGCTTAAAAATACCCAGCTGACCCCCCAAAAAGTGTTGGGACAAAAGAGTGTTCTTTTGCTAGAAAATGGTAAAATATTACTTTAACACAATTTATTCTGACTAGAAATTAGAAACAAAGATTTTTGCTGACTTCAGTTGTTGGGATTTTGCCTTTCTGATGTTGTGCCGACTCATGCTGGCTGCCTTTTCGTAACTTGTTCGAGTAAATGTACCAACATCATGATGTCAGACTATTAACTTGTTAGGTGGGAACAAATTGTATTGAAGCCTGATCCTGCTGTTGCCCAATGTTGTTGTGCAACAGGAGGCCAACGGCAATACCTCAGCTGCTGCTCCTGGTGAAGATCCGCTAACTCTGCAGGCACGAGAATTTAAATGGATTCTTCTGCTCTGCAGGCATTTAATACTACCTATGATCTTGTCAATAGAGCACGTAATGTTTCCAGCTTTAATAATTATCATAATAAACCTTGAGTTTGATTTAGTGCCTTATCTAGTCTTTGAGATGTCTCAAAGAGCGTCGCAGAATATACTGTAAAGGGAATTGATTATTTTGTGGGTGAAATTTGTATAGTCATCATGAGGTGGAGCAATAATTAGATGAAACTTGAATAATCTTGTGCTGTCCAATTAAGAACTCATATTTGAGTGCCCAGGTCATTAAGATCTAGGTTAAGCCTCTGTTCATTTAACTAACATCTAAAGTCTAGTAACCCTGATTTAAGATTATGAGTTTTAAAGCACATAAGCAGGCCATTCAGTCCATTCTGCTGTGCCAAGTCTGGAAGAGCTTTCCATACAAATCCCACTGCCCAGCTTTCAGTTTTCAAATATTTGTGAAATTCCATTTTAAAGGCTATTATGGATTTTACTTTTTGATGGTGCAACTTGAATAACTTTGCATATATGGAACTCGGGAGTTTGGGTTGGATACTGTTGAGGTTGTAGACTTCAATGTGTCTGATATCCAGCTGTCCAAAAAAATGTAGAGGTGTGCAATAAATTATAATTGAGTATGTCCAATATCCTTCTTCAACTTGCCCAGCACTCCGTATGACTGCTTATAATGAACTGCACATGTATTTTATTATACTCTCACAGAGCTTATAGTGCTGGTTTCCTAATGCTTTTGTTCTTATTTCTAGTATGAAGTGAAATAGAACTGAATATACCATCTGAAACTGCTGCTTCCAGTTCGGATCACGTTGAGGAAAAAAACAAGCTGAAACAACCAAAGAGCAAACTGCAGCTAAAGAAAACTTGATCTGAAACAGAAGTTTGTGCCTACTCAACAGCCTACAAAGAGCACTTCCCAACGCTGCTATACTTTCTACTCTTCTCAGTGCTGCCCTAGAGCACTCTCCAGTGCAGCAAGAATAGGAATTCTCTGCTAGCTTGATAGATCCTTCTCTGTCTCTTGTCCGCCCATCATTGTCAACCTCCGAACGTGCGCTAAACAGAACATCAGACAACAGTACAAACTACTGACAAGTGCAATATTCAAAATCACTACAAGGTAGGTAATCTGTTAGAACACTTATTAAAAAGAAACAAAACTCGTCCTCGACAATGCAACATTAGGAAGACGTGATTGTGCAGGAGATAAATTTCTGGTTTTCGAATTGTTCAGTTGCAGGAATACCTCAATTATAAGTTAGAAGCTGACATTGGTACATTTTAAACTTTTAATTGGGTATTCTAGGGGGCTATTGATTGTAGTGATCAGCAATTACAGCCGATACATATGGATATGCGTTAGTTTGTTTGCTTGGCTCAGTCGGTAGCATTTTTGGTACTAGGTCAAGAATGTTGAGATTTTAAGCCCATATGTTGGAATGTGAGCTCATAGGCTAGGGTGACACTCCCAGAGCAGTATGTGGGGAGCACTGTATTGTCCAAACTCTTGTCCTTTAGATTAGGCATTAAATAGATCTTCGCTTGAATATTAAAGGTTCCATGATACTATTCATGGAAGACACAAGACCTTGTTTTGGTCAATGATTTTTCGGATTAATTGGCCAATCACTTCATGGTTGTTGATGATATGTTACTGGTGCAAATGGCTGCAGATCTTGCCTGGATAACTGTTTATAATGAGCATTTTGCTCTATATATAAATTACCTGGATATAGAAATAGGAGGGCACATATCCAAGTTTTCTGATGCCATGTAAGTTAGGGGTTGTGGTAAATTATGACGTACAGTTTTACTTTAAGTATGGCTTTACTTTATTTCCAGATAATTTTTGTTGATTAAGCCATTAATTTGGTTCCGTCTGCTTTGTGAAATGTAGAATATTTCTCGCTGTTCTGATTTGTAGTCCATTCTCATTGCTTTGTTCGTAGCACATTGTGGGTGCAAATTAGCTGTCATGTTTGCCTATATACCCACTTGATTTCTAATTGGTCTCTATAAAATAAGACACTTTCTACAAGCGTGATTTGGTATTCAAAGGGGAAATGCAATTTTAGTAAATCCTTTTATGCAATTTCTATAATGTACGAGTTATGGATTACAATTTACCCATTGACAATATGTTGCATTTATATAGAACCCTTCACAGGGTACTGTGAGAGTGCTATACTGTGGTGAGTATGGATACTAAGCAAGGGAGGAGAGGGGTGACCATGGGTGTGGTCGAAGTGGTAAGTCTTCAAATGGGATTTAAAGAGGGGCAAGCAGTGGGATTGGGCATAGGAGTTGAAGCCACAGCCAGGTGATGCAGACGGGTTGGGGGATGGACATCATTACCTTAGCGAAGGGGGTGAGCAGAGGATTATAGTACAAGCAGTATTAGGCGCGGGTTGGCAAGAGCCAAGGCTTGGGGCTGCAGAGTATGTGATGGGGTAACTGCTGGAGTCTAACCAGATAAAACCACAGAGCTTGCCATTGGTATTGTTCCAGCAAGCTTTGTCGCTGCTTGTCCAGCTAGGACCACCCTAGCCATTAGGGCTTTTGCTTGCAGCATTAACAGGAGCTGAGTAGGATGACTCCCTGCCCACAGTGACTGACCTGCCCTTCCAGGTCCCCTGATGAGCCAGGGTGGGTGGCTGTGTTGTCATCAGCAGAGCCCTGGAGTATTGTGGACCTGCCTGGCTCAGGAACGGGACTATCGAGGGCTGGCTCGATTCTGACATTCCATTGCCAGGCATGACACTTGGGATCCAGTTCAGCTCCAAGTAGACGTGTGTGTGTGTGTGAGAGAGAAAGAGAGAGCTGCCTGCAGGTGGGGGCCATGTTCTCTGAAGGATGTACATTTTACAGAACAACAGCTCTTGCAGCCATCCAAAGCTATGTCAGCCACGTAGAGTTGATCCATCATTGAACAGAAACGTGGGGAATCGGAGCACCAAATTTGTGTCCAGAAGGTTATGGGTTTCAAAAATCCTTCTGAAGTTTATAACAGGCAGTTTTCCTCTGCCTGGGTTTTCTCTACAGTGTCACAAAATCTTTTAATGATGTTGCTAATTTCAGCGGCAATGACTTTGTGCCAATTCACTTTGCAATCGGTAATATTCATGACCTACAGTTGCACAACCTTCCTTATGCTTAAAAGGATCATAATGTCAAGTAATGACATCAGTAGCTGATACTACCCTTGAGGTGCCTAATTTAAATATAAGAAGGTCAAATAGATTTTGTCTAATTGGAGCTCATTGGAATTGCTTTAACCCATCTCGTAGAATGAGCTTCTGTTCAAATATTCAACAACAACTTGCACTTATATAGTGCCTTTCATGCAGAGCAGAGCTTGACAGTGGCAGAGTCTGACAATGACCCAGGGGAGAGGGAGTGGGGAGGTGACCGTAAGCACGATCTTTAGGTGGGATTTGAAGGTGATGAGCGAGGGGTGGCAAGGCAGAGAGAGAGAATTCCAGAGGATTGGGGTGTAGTAGCTGAAGGCATGGCTATTGTTGGTGGGACGGAGGGCAGGAGGGACAAACAGGAGCCCGGAGCCAGCCGAGCGAAGGCAGCGAGTGGTGGAGTGGGGGAGTAAGTAGGTCAAATAGGTAGGAAGGTGTGAGGGCATGAAGGGATTTGAAATTGAGTGAGGGGATCTTTAAACGATTGGTGATTGGGAGCCAGTGGAGCCTGGCTAGGACTTGTGTGATGAAGGTACATAGTTTAGTGTAGGTGAGTATCTGGGTGGTGGAGTTTTCAATTAATTGAATTTTGTGTATGGTGGAGCTGGGGAGACCAGCGAGGAGGACATTGGAACATTCAGCCAGGATGTAATGAAGGCATGGACGACAGTTTCAGCTGCATTGGTTGTGAGGTACAGACGGAGGTGGGCAATGTGGCAGAGGTGGAAAAAGGCAGTCTTGGTCAGAGAATGGATGTGTAGTAGAAAGGAAAGAGCAAGGCTGGGGATAGAACCTGACTCCTAGGTTGTCCACGGATTCGGAGAGTCTGAGGGAGAGCCCGCGGAGGTTGAAGAATTCAGGCCCGCAAGAGAGAGAGGCTGATAACAGCAGCCAAAGAGTATGGCTTCCGTATTGCCGACATTCAGCTGCAAGAAATTGAAGGATTTATTACCCCCGGAAAAGCGATCCACAATCGACTAACAACCGGGTTCCTACTTACTGCTAGGTAAACAGAGGTGTATGGAGTAAGGAACGTTTCCAACGTTTCGCCCTGCCAGAAATCAAACCAGCAATCGCTTGCGATGTGAGCGCTCTAACCACTAAGCTACAGAACTCTACTGTGGAGTGGATATTTTGTGGGCAAAACGCGCGTAGCGGTTCCAAGTAGATTAAGTGAGCAAATTATTATTTTTATATATGTCAATTTTCTCACTTAATTTTGAAGGAAGAGGATATGTCACATATATATTGTATAAAAATGAAATTTTGTCAAACCTATTTAACGTTTTGGTGAAATGACAGTTCCAGTCTCCTGTTACAATAGAATTATCTTTCCGTGCCATTGTACACAATAGCTGTTACTAGACAAAGCCGAAGCAAATGGACTCTGAAGCCATTCTATTTGACTTCCACCAGCATTTTCTTGCTTCTGTCTCTTCAGCCTGTTCATCAGCCTCATCATGTTGTGTACTCCAGCTGGTGGAACCATTGATTCTCAATTTCTTTCAAATCTGGTCCTTGACCAAGTCACCAATTTCACCTATTAAACTTGACTTCTCAAGGAACTTATCCTGTGAAGATGTAATAAGATGCTATATCAAATGCAATGATTATTATTGTAAACTAATTGTAGTTTTTTTTAAGCTTACCTGGGCTATGGAGGAAGAAAAGTGCCTGGTTTCTGACTGCTATGTTGACAAACTCATCAAACCTGGAAACTTACAGGCAACTTGTTTGGGATTTTGAAACTTTGTGAAAGGCTCAAGGAATTGATGTCCATGTGCTGATTTTCTCATGTTCCTCAAGCTTTGTTAATGTAGTGATAAAGTTGTAAAGTTTGTCCTTCCTTAAGATTCTTCATCATGAGAAGGGTCGCAACCACAACTTGAGTTGAGTTTGAGCTCATATTGCAGTGGTTGTATGCTATATGACGAAAGCTTTGTGCAGGTAGAGCATTGCTGATCCGTACGAACTTACACTAACCAGACCAAACTTCATTCTGAATGAGTGTCTTGACTTTAAAAAATGAAGATGCTTTTTGTTTAATCTCAAAGCCTGTGTAAATTGCTTTCAAACCGACATTAGTATAAGATCTAGCACAGTTTTGTGCACAGCAACTAGTATTAGAATTATTATGATTAGTGTCCCCTTGTATGTTTATCACTTAGCTTTGAGTTTCAATGGAAAATTAAGTTGAAGCTTTGCATCAAATCTACTTCGCCTCTTTTTGTATTTGATAGATTGTATGTGTGTGTGTGTATATATATATATATTTATTGTGTGTGTGTGTATACATCCCTAATTTTAGATGATTCACGTAGAGTTCTGTAGCTTAGTGGTTGAAGAACTTGCCTCACAAGCGAAAGATTCAGGTTCGATTCCCGGGCAGGGCAAAACATTAGGCGAGTTTCCTTACTCCACACGCCTCTGTTTACCTAGCAGTAAGTAGGAACCCGGTTGTTAGTTGATTGTTGGATCGCTATTCCAAGGGTAATAGTCCCTTCAAAATTTTTATATATATAAAACAAGTTAGTCACTCATTCCATGTTTGTGGGACACTGCTGTGCGTATTTGGCTGCCGTGTTTTGCCCACAAAATATGCAGTCAATTCACTTTGCAGTATATTCTGTGAAGCACTTTGAGATGTCTTGAAGACGTGATAAGGCGCTATCTCAAATGCAAGAATTATTATTCAGATAGAAAATAGTGTAATGCATGGAAATCCTGTTAACATGGTCGCTGGGTCCAATAGAATCAATAGTGTTCTGGGTGAAGGGTGAAAAATGTTCGTTTTCTGGGTCACCAGTTGGTCGCTTTCTGTGCGATAGCTGGTTGTGGTACTTCCTGCATGCATGCAGGAAGTGACAACCGTGGCTACCTGAAGACTTGGAAGTCTGCCATTTTATATGCGTGAAGCTAGCTCATTGAGCTG